AATGTAGGTGATGCTATAGATTTAAGCGATGCTGTGTCATTGAAAATTTTAAATGATACTTCTGAAGAATTGAAAAAGCACATTCAATTACTTGATAATAGAGTGAAAGGACTTAATAGAAAAACAACGGATATAGCATTTAAAGTTAAAAATGATGTGGCAGCATCAGTAGAAAATACACTGGAAACTCATACATCTTCTACAACCAATTTAATCAATTCATAAATTCAAAGTTAACAGCACTTCAAACCAAGTTGGATGAATTAGAGATCATACTTAAAAAAGGTATTTAATCTGAAGTATAGTCAGAAACTAATCATTCTTGTGTTAGCTTTCGTGGTATTCACATCATTTTCTGAAAAATGAGCATGCATCGTCTTGGAGAGCGTTGGGAATCTACTCCCGGTCTAGTGAGAGGACCTCCTGGAATTGATTTCCAATTAACTAGTGACGATCAGTTTGATATTGATGGAAAACGATTGTGCAATATAGCTGATCCCATTGATTTGAATGACGCAGCATCATTGAAGAGTGTTAATAATATTGTGCATCAAGAATTTAGAAACTTACATGAAATACTGTTGGCAGATTTGCATGAAGCAATAGATTTATCACATGATGAAACATCATTATTGAGAGAATCTATATCTACTTTGAGAGAACAGATAAACGATATAGAAAATTCAGTATCTGGTGAAATATCATTATCATCATTAAATGGAACTATATCTACTTTAGAGAAGAAGTTGGATAATTTTGAACAAAAATTGATCGCAGAGAGAATTTATACTGATTCTAAATTTTTAAAATTTGATGCCATCACTGATTTAATGAAATCACAATTTAATGTATGCCGTCAAGCTATAATAGACCTTTTCGAAAAATCAAGGGGACAAGAAGCACTCTTGAAATCATCACAATCATTGAATTTCTTACTTAGTGGGCTAACCTGGAATAATGAATCAGATGGAAAAAATTAAAAAAGTAATTGCTGATGAGCTGCATAGACCTGCAAGAAAAAATTTCAAACATCGAAAAGTTTATATACAAGGTCTTGATGAAACATGGCAGGCGGACTTGGTTGATTTAACTGCTTACTTATCTACCAACAATAGATACAAATATATTTTAACAATTATCGATATTTTCTCGAAATATGCCTGGGCTGTACCGGTAAGAACAAAAAATGGGAAAGATGTCACCGATGCTATGAAATCAGTGTTAATACAGAAACGAGTACCTCGAAAATTACATGTGGATAGAGGCAAAGAATTTTATAATAAAGAATTTCAAACACTTATGAAGCAATACAATATAGAAATGTATTCAACGTTTACAAATCTAAAGGCGTCTATATGTGAACGATTTAATCGTACATTGAAAAATAAAATGTGGAAACAATTTATTATACGTCGAAATCATAAATGGATTGATATTTTACCTTCTGTAATGAAATCATATAATAATACTATACATAGTACTATTAAAATGAAACCGAAAGATATAACAGTTGATCATTAAAAACAATTGCTCCAAGATATTTACAAAGGACATTTACATACAGTCAATAAACGTCTAAAATTGAAATTTAAAATTGGAGATAAAGTGCCTGTAAGTAAATATAAACACGCATTCGAAAACGGTTATACACCCAATTGGACAACTGAAATTTTTACCATTAAAACCGTCAAAAATACAAGACCTGTGGCACATGAATTGATTGATTATTAAGATCAGCCGATTAAGGGACGATTATACACCGAAGAATTTACCGGAGTCTAGTATACGGATGTCTACTTTGTTGAAAAAATGTTGAAAAAGCAGAAAAATGAAGTCTATGTTAAATGGTTAGGGTTTGATAAATCACATAACAGTTGGATAGATATAAAAGATTTATAATTTTATTAATTTGAATAAAAATATACAATTTGTATCAATGAATGATCCTAATAAATAAAAACATATTTCTTATTTACTATTTTTTTCTTTTTTGCCCTTTTTCCCATGTTTTCAATGTGATTGCTATATTATCATTTTGATACCCCCATGGAAATGTATCAGTTTTTCCTTCTTGCACCATTCGCTTATCATCTTCAGCACTTAAAGCTATTTTTATTCGAGAAATTGTACTCACTTTATGTTTTTCCCTAACTATATGATGCTCAATTCGAGATATTTTCTTATCATTAAATAAACATTTTTTATAATGATCAAATGTAATCGTTTCCATAACAGATAACTGTACTCCTTTAGCTTTTACTTTATCTCTCACTACTTCTATTTTTTTAGCTTTTATTTCATCTTTATCATTCATTACCTTAAATGCATACATTTTAGCCCTTAAACCAATAAAATGTGTCATAATTTTACCATTATTTTCATCTTTCATTAATCCAATAACTTTTTTATTTGCTAAAGGTATACCCCATATATTATCTTTCTTATACTCTGAAGTATCAAATTTATCTATATCCTCTTTAATATGTTTATAAATATCAGGATTTTTAAAATGATAGATTAAACTATCAGTATCAGTATACATTAATTTAGCTTGTTCAAGAGGATATTTTTTAAGTATATAATTATAATGAAAATCATAAATATAAATTTTTGAAATATCTAGAATACAGAATCCAATGTATATTGGCTTATTAAAAATTACTTTCATTCTCTTAAGTTCTATTGCAACTAAATTTTCATTAAAAATTACTCTAGAATGATAATTAGGTTTAGATATGTAATAATTCGCCCCGTAACGTTTTTCCCATTCTGTAACAAGTTTGACATCTCTACGTTTTCTAACATTTTTCATAGTTTTACCGAAAACAGCATTATTCATTAACTTGAAAAAATTTTTTTCAAAATCATTTTTCGCCTCTTTTCTTTTATCTGTATTTAAATTTATATATGGCTTCAGCCATCGAGATTGTTTAAATTTCAAAACTCTATGCATATTTGTTACTTTTAATCCTAATTCGATACATTGTTTTAAATTTCTATAGTGAATAATATAATTTTTTTTATCATATAAAATTGTCATTAATTTGGAATGCTTTGAATCAGGTGCTCGAGAATGCTCGGGGCAAAGGGGCAGATCTTTATGTCTTTCAAATAAACTTTGAGGGTATTCCAAATCAACTTCAAGTATATAACCAGTAAGATCATCATCGCTTATTGTCATAATATCGATTTCTGTCGTAGACCATTCGAAAGAAGGAAGTGACTATCCGCACAATACCGTGGACGGTTTTTACCGTGTACGGTATGCCGTATACGGTATATATTCTTACGGTTTATCAATTTACAGAGCCCTTCAATACCGTGAAGCCCTTTTACCGTGCACGGTATAATATCTTCACGGTATTGTATATTCCGACGGGCTATACCGTGGAGCCCTCTTACCGTGCACGGTATAACATTTTCACGGTATTGTATACTTCGACGGGCTATACCGTGGAGCCCTCTTACGGTATAACATTTTCACGGTATAGTAACTTAATGGTGTAAAATATCCTAATTCTTTATACCGTGGGGCATTTTTGAATCCAGTACACGATATAGTATGTTAATGACGGCCTATATGGTTTCATTGCTTATACCGTGTGGCATTTTCAACGTTTTCAATGTGATAATTTTAAAATGCCTGTATTTAAATCTGAATCATTTGACCCATACAATGATTTTTTTTATGCCACACTCGGTGTAATATAACAGACAATGTATTCCTAGTATGATTGATAATCTCTCTAGATCATTGCATGGAACTATTGAAATTTGTCTGGCTATATCATAGTTGTAAGATAATACATAACAGATCGCTTTTAACAATTTTCATCAATTTCTTCTTAAAGAAAAATGTATGGAATGAACCCTTGTAACTAGTGTTTGAGCTGTAGAGAAAGACTTTTTTTTCCCATATAGATTTTTTACATAGTTTACCTGTTTATCATAGTCGTAAAATTTATTTGAAGCTTTCTATTCTTACTTAATCAACAAATCTGTAAAAAAATCTTCGTGGGATCTTGTACAGCTTATTTAAAATTTTGTTTTTTTTTCGGAAAATATTAATATTTTAGAAATTAATAGGTAATCTAATAGTTCTACATCTTCATTATTTTTATTAATTACATTTATTGTTAGAGCAGATGAAACAAAGATTTTTTTTAATTCAATGTTCAGTAATTAAATTAGAAGTAAGAGTTTTCAATTTTGTCGTTTAAATGTCAACGAAACTTTTTATTTCTATTCTCCATATTTACGGTAGGTGGAACTTATTTTAACGAAAAGATATTTTAAGAGGTCATTGGCTGCTACTCTCTTAATATGGATTGAAGGTTTTATGACAGTCCATTATGTCGACACCTGAGAGAAGTGAATTGTAAAACGATAATAACGGAAAAAGATTTTTCGTTATTTTCATTATTATACCTTCTCCCAAGTACAGTTACAGTTATTGAAGAACATTTCAAAAATTTTTCAGGTGTACTCATTATAAATTTCTGCTCCAAACTATTTCCGTTCCAAAAATTTCCATTCATCTCAACTTGAAAATATTGTAAACCCCAATGGATCGTTCTACGGTTAGATATATATTTCTTTATGCAATTTTATTTATCTTACAAATGTTTTAAAATTAGATTTAACGTTTATTATAAATTGTAAAGAATAGTAATTCACTTTAAACTTTATAAACTAATTTAATGTCAAACTAGCCCGTCATTAAATTTTTTACTATTTTTTTACTATTTTGTACCACGGTTTATAGTATTTTCAAGCTAAGGTCAATAAACACATTTTTCTTGATAAATTTTACTATGAGGCTCAGTTTGAAAAATTAAAAAATCAGTATTAAAAATTAAAGGATTTTAAAGTTAAAATTAAATTAATTTTTTTTTCTTTATTTATTTAAAAATTGAAGTTTCCATATTACATCTCTGAATATTGATTACATTACAGTATAACAATAATTATTAATATTGTATCATATAAAGTACATCGATAATAATGTAGTGCATACAATTTATAATTTTTTTAATAACAGTTGTTACAGCGGAGATGTTTGAACTCTGGTAACATTAATTCAAGCATGTTTTGCAAAACCAATCGTCTTTCGTAGCTTCTGTAATGCCTACACATGCAAAATCATACCACAGTTTGCATGCATCACATTGAATGCTCTTTTTTTTTATAGTTTTTTTGCAAGTATTGCACGACCAAGACTTCTTTTTCTTCATAGCACTCATCATTTTTGTTAATAAGTTAAATGTGTTTTCCTCAACGTATGTAACAACAAGTGAATTGAAACATTTGATTACGTCTTCGTCTCTGAATGAATCACTTAAATGTGTAAATTGAGGGCTACGCAATAAACATTTCCTTTGAAGAACGTTTTCTATGTGTACTTCTGGAACTGACAACCAACTTAGCATTTTTCGAATTTTTTCATCATCGGTTAATGAATCAAATGCTTTTACCATTGACCCCTGAGCTGTTGATATTCTTTGTTTCGAGCTCTGTTCTTCGAGGTGATTTGGATCGTTTGCTGATGTTTCGATACTTAACGCAACTTGTTCATCAAATGAACTCTCCCATAAATCTTTTGATCCATGCATCGACGATTGGAGAGAATCAGATAGTTTCGCTGCACTAGATAGTATTTCTTCATCAAATGAACCTTCCCACAAATCTTTTGATCCATGTGGCGAGGATTGGATACAATCAGATAGTTTCGCTGAAGTAGATGGCGTTTGTTCATCAAATGACCCTTCCCACAAATCTTTTGATCTATGTGGCGACGATTGGATACAATCAGATAGTTTCGATGAAGTAGATGGCGTTTGTTCATCGAATGATTTAGCGGGTAAATTTTTATCATCGATTTTTCTTCGTGCAGAATCATTTTTTTCCCATTGATCCAATAATGCTCTGCAGTCGTTTATTTTTGTTTTTCTATCTTCAGGAACACACGTACGTAAATTATGTTTTATTTTATTAACAATCTGATCTATTTCATCATCGATTTTCTCCTTTAGAGGTTCAACTAAAAAAAAAAAAAATATATGTCATAACAAATATGAGACTTTACCATCACCACAATAGTTATTATACTGAATAAAAAATGCATATATACCTTTTTCAACTGCATTAGCTTCGATACATAACTCACTGTGTTTGTCATTAATATTCCGGATTTCTAAATGATTTTTGTCGGTTGCTTTAAACGTGATTTGTGCATTACACTTCATTGTTTTAGCTCTGGAATGATAATTTTCCTTTCAGTAATTATGTTCTTAACATACTAAAATTTTCATATTAAATAAATATCGTCTTCATGATAACATAGATAAACCTACCTGGAACATTGAAGTGTTCCTTCATAATAAACTAATTCTTCATTGTATCCTTCGGCGACCATATCTCTTTTTTTTCCATTCATGTAACAATTTTTTAACTTCTTTGTATTCTTTAATGTAAAATTCACTTTTTTATCCTTTTTATATTTCTCTAAAGCTTCACAAAAATCTTTATAACTTTTATATTTTTCATGTGCTTTCATTTTTACCAATGATTGAACAGATTACTAACAGACAAATAATTAAGGAAGTCCTCTACAAATGAACCTCGTAGACTGTGAATTGAAAAAGAATGTAATTGGAAAGTCTATGTTACAGTCGAAAGGCTGTCTTTTCCCCTTCTCTCTCTCTCTCTTAAAGTTGATTGTTTAGAATAACAATTTGAAAAGTATAGTTTGTTGACTTACAGAGATAGTAGGTAAAGCAGAATAAATGGTTAAGAAGTGGAAAGTCAAAATGTGTGTACGACCCGACCTACATAACATCGGAATGTCGGATTGCAAATCAATTTACTCCAGTAATTGTTGATTGGTTAGTGAGTAAATTAAGCTTCTTAAATTATCATAAACAACGAATAGAGTTATAGATTGAATCAACATTTTGAACATCATTAAAAACAAAAATTGTTCTTTGATTTATTATGAAGCATGCTCTAGTTTTACTGCCTTTACGCACTGGTCGTGAAAACATTGTTTATACCAAAAACTGTACGATTATTATGCCGGAAATAACAAAAATTGTTTTTTAAATTATTATTAAGAAATTGAAATTGTAATTTTATTGCTAACTCAATTCTATGATGTATTATACTTCAAGTAGTATTCCATTACGCATAGGGTGCCCTAGTTTTACTGCCTTTGCGCACTAGTCGTGAAAACATTGTTTATACCAAAAATTGTACGATTATTATGCCGGAAATAACAAAAAATGTTTTTCAAATTATTATTAAGAAATTAAAATTATAATTTTATTGCCAACTCGATTCTATGATGTATTATACTTCACGTAGTCTTCCATTACGCATAGGGTGCCCTAGTTTTACTGCTTTTACGCACTGGTCTTCGAAAGATTGATTATACCAAAAATTGTACGATTATTATGCCGGAAATAACAAAAATTGTTTTTTAAATTATTATTAAGAAATTAAAATTGTAATTTTATTGCTAAGTCAATTCTATGATGTATTATACTTCAAGTAGTATTCCATTACGCATAGGGTGCCCTAGTTTTACTGCTTTTACGCACTGGTCTTCGAAAGATTGATTATACTAAACATTGTACGATTATTATGCCGGAAATAACAAAAATTGTTTTTTAAATTATTATTAAGAAATTAAAATTATAATTTCATTGCCAACTCAATTTTATGATGTATTATACTTCACGTAGTCTTCCATTACGCATAGGATGCTCTAGTTTTACTGCTTTTACGCACTGGTCTTCGGAAGATTGATTATACTAAAAATTGTACGATTATTATGCCGGAAATAACAGAAATTGTTTTTTAAATTATTATTAAGAAATTAAAATTGTAATTTTATTGCTAAGTCAATTCTATGATGTATTATACTTCAAGTAGTATTCCATTACGCATAGGGTGCCCTAGTGTTACTGCTTTTACGCACTGGTCTTCGAAAGATTGATTATACTAAAAATTGTACGATTATTATGCCGGAAATAACAAAAATTGTTTTTTAAATTATTATTAAGAAATTAAAATTGTAATTTTATTGCTAAGTCAATTCTATGATGTATTATACTTCAAGTAGTATTCCATTACGCATAGGGTGCCCTAGTTTTACTGCTTTTACGCACTGGTCTTCGAAAGATTGATTATACTAAAAATTGTACGATTATTATGCCGGAAATAACAAAAATTGTTTTTTAAATTATTATTAAGAAATTAAAATTGTAATTTTATTGCTAAGTCAATTCTATGATGTATTATACTTCAAGTAGTATTCCATTACGCATAGGGTGCCCTAGTTTTACTGCTTTTACGCACTGGTCTTCGAAAGATTGATTATACTAAACATTGTACGATTATTATGCCGGAAATAACAAAAATTGTTTTTTAAATTATTATTAAGAAATTAAAATTATAATTTCATTGCCAACTCAATTTTATGATGTATTATACTTCACGTAGTCTTCCATTACGCATAGGATGCTCTAGTTTTACTGCTTTTACGCACTGGTCTTCGAAAGATTGATTATACTAAAAATTGTACGATAATTATGCCGGAAATAACAAAAATTGTTTTTCAAATTATTATTAAGAAATTAAAATTGTAATTTTATTGCTAACTCAATTCTATGATGTATTATACTTCATGTGGTATTCCATTACGCATAGGGTGCCCTAGTTTTACTGCTTTTACGCACTGGTCTTCGAAAGATTGATTATACTAAAAATTGTACGATTATTATGCCGGAAATAACAAAAATTGTTTTTTAAATTATTATTAAGAAATTAAAATTATAATTTCATTGCCAACTCAATTTTATGATGTATTATACTTCACGTAGTCTTCCATTACGCATAGGATGCTCTAGTTTTACTGCTTTTACGCACTGGTCTTTGAAAGATTGATTATACCAAAAATTGTACGATTATTATGCCGGAAATAACAAAAATTGTTTTTTAAATTATTATTAAGAAATTAAAATTGTAATTTTATTGCTAAGTCAATTCTATGATGTATTATACTTCATGTGGTATTCCATTACGCATAGGGTGCCCTAGTTTTACTGCTTTTACGCACTGGTCTTCGAAAGATTGATTATACTAAAAATTGTACGATTATTATGCCGGAAATAACAAAAATTGTTTTTTAAATTATTATTAAGAAATTAAAATTATAATTTCATTGCCAACTCAATTTTATGATGTATTATACTTCACGTAGTCTTCCATTACGCATAGGATGCTCTAGTTTTACTGCTTTTACGCACTGGTCTTCGAAAGATTGATTATACTAAAAATTGTACGATTATTATGCCGGAAATAACAAAAATTGTTTTTTAAATTATTATTAAGAAATTAAAATTATAATTTCATTGCCAACTCAATTTTATGATGTATTATACTTCACGTAGTCTTCCATTACGCATAGGATGCTCTAGTTTTACTGCTTTTACGCACTGGTCTTTGAAAGATTGATTATACCAAAAATTGTACGATTATTATGCCGGAAATAACAAAAATTGTTTTTTAAATTATTATTAAGAAATTAAAATTGTAATTTTATTGCTAAGTCAATTCTATGATGTATTATACTTCATGTGGTATTCCATTACGCATAGGGTGCCCTAGTTTTACTGCTTTTACGCACTGGTCTTCGAAAGATTGATTATACTAAAAATTGTACGATTATTATGCCGGAAATAACAAAAATTGTTTTTTAAATTATTATTAAGAAATTAAAATTATAATTTCATTGCCAACTCAATTTTATGATGTATTATACTTCACGTAGTCTTCCATTACGCATAGGATGCTCTAGTTTTACTGCTTTTACGCACTGGTCTTCGAAAGATTGATTATACTAAAAATTGTACGATTATTATGCCGGAAATAACAAAAATTGTTTTTTAAATTATTATTAAGAAATTAAAATTATAATTTCATTGCCAACTCAATTTTATGATGTATTATACTTCACGTAGTCTTCCATTACGCATAGGATGCTCTAGTTTTACTGCTTTTACGCACTGGTCTTCGAAAGATTGATTATACTAAAAATTGTACGATTATTATGCCGGAAATAACAAAAATTGTTTTTTAAATTATTATTAAGAAATTAAAATTATAATTTCATTGCCAACTCAATTTTATGATGTATTATACTTCACGTAGTCTTCCATTACGCATAGGATGCTCTAGTTTTACTGCTTTTACGCACTGGTCTTCGAAAGATTGATTATACTAAAAATTGTACGATTATTATGCCGGAAATAACAAAAATTGTTTTTTAAATTATTATTAAGAAATTAAAATTATAATTTCATTGCCAACTCAATTTTATGATGTATTATACTTCACGTAGTCTTCCATTACGCATAGGATGCTCTAGTTTTACTGCTTTTACGCACTGGTCTTCGGAAGATTGATTATACTAAAAATTGTACGATTATTATGCCGGAAATAACAAAAATTGTTTTTTAAGTTATTATTCAAGAATTAAAATTGTTTTTCGTGAAAAAATTGTTTATACTAAAATTGTAAGTTTGACATAAATTGTTCTTCTTATTAGTATGAATCCATAAAATTTGAATTGGAACTTAGTGGCCAATATATTACTCAAAAACGAGACTTCAAATTTTTTTTAATCACTAACTTATTTCTACGGTCTGTAATATAATTTTTTAATGACAAACATTTATTTATTTATAGGAAGGAATATTAAAGGCAATTTCAACAGTTAATAAACAATGCAGTTTATATATGTTATATATCTTTTAGTATATTTTAACATTTTTCATACAATTGCATCTTAAAAACAAATTAATACATAAATAAAATTTTCGATACAAGTTTTAATACATAAGATTTCATTTCATTTTTAATAATTACCCACACCATTACAAAATTTAATACTATATAATGGAAGGAATGTCATAAATATACTTATCAGATACGTTATCAAATTTTTTTGCCAATTTTCTCTATTAAAATTATCATTTTCTGCTTCATACACATTCATTAATGAGATAAAATTATATACTTATAGCTAAGTAATCTTATTTTACCTTATCTAAAATTAAATTACTGTTAATTACTTTTATAAAACGCACGTTCACAGATATATATTTATTTATGTATCTACTTTTAAAAACTGTTCATTCTTATGACACAAACAATTTACGTAATGATACAATTTATAAGAAATTATGTACTTATTATGTGTCGATTATATTAAAGAAATTGTCAATTTTATGTATTAAAAGGTTGATGTTAAACAATTATTACAAAACCATTCATCATCTTCAGCTTCTGTAATAACTACGCATGACGAATGGTACCATATCAGACAGGCATTACATTGAATCTCTCTGATTGTGATTGTTTTACAACAGATCGGACATATAGAATATTTTTTTTTCCTCATTTCTATTAGCATGGTTTGCAGCGTTTCAAAAGAATCTTTTTGTAAATACTCTACTAACAGTTTACTCACACATTTCATTACTTCATCGTCTCGGAATGATTCAGTTAAAGTGTATAAATGCGTATTACGGAGTAAACATTTTTTATTCA